GCTTAACTTTTTTCCTAGGTGTATATATATATATGCTCTGGAAAAAAAAACTTTACCTGACCATTAACACAAGGGCATTTTCAATTACTTTTAATAAACAAAGATATATGTAAAGATGCTCAATATCAAACACTTATAACTCCCAAAGAAACTTCTATAATTCTAAACTGCTGTAAACTTTGGATTCCACAGTGGTATGAACAGTTTCATCCTCCAACAATGTTCAGTGTAAGTCTTTCGTAAAGGCCAAGACAAAGGATGTACATGTACACCACACTACAATAGGAAGAATTTTCAGTTTCATAATAATGTACAGAAAAGATAACATTTATTTCAGTACAGTTACTTGAATGAAGAATAACTGGCTTGTTTATAATTTATATTTCAATTTTAAACATTCCATTCTTCTTAAATGCAAAGGAATAAGTACACTTTCTTTTATGTTAACTAGCAGAGACCCGGAAAACATTTCCGGCCAAATTAGTATCTTTATTGTAACAGTGCTTCTTTAAATATAACATTTCTAGCACAATACAAACGAATTGTAATCACAAACAATGAAATGTGTAAATCCACTTGTATATAGGCCGTACCTTATAAAACTTTAACTTATGATAGGCTTAAATTCGATAAAGAGATACATTAACACTGTAACCTGTGTACATTTTTTTTTCACCTTAGTTTAGTTAGAACTAAACATTACTGTACTTAATACTATCAATAAATAAACTTATAATGTTATTCTACAACCTAATGTCAAACCTTTTTAAAATCTTTGATAAGTTTTTAATATTCTGTTGTACAAAATGTTTAGTAAAGTATATTTACATTACCCTTTTACTTCTTGTTTCATACAGGAATTGTAGTACTTCACTGAGCTTTGCAGATCTCTGCCACAGGCAGACTATTTGTCATCCAGTGAATATTGTGCATGCACAGTTTTTCTTGGGGAAACATTCTAACTACGCATGCTTATGCAGCAGGTTCTCGGTTCAGAAAGCGTAACAGCCGTACATACAAACAAGCAGAATAATAGTATAGATTTTTAATTAGATCATAAATAAGTTTATACATGTACAGATACAGATTATAACATTTCTGCATATTAGTGTTTATGAGAACTCTTGCTAATGCAAAATCTAGTAAGAACAGTGCTGCACTTATGCAGTCATACTTGAGCATAAAACATCTATCCTTTAACTTTATCACCCAGGGTACCCTTTACTGTGCATAACACAAGGTTTTAGTGTCTTACATTCAAAATTTTATTAAACTACTTTTTGTTTATGTTATACCAATTACAATAGCATAAAATCTTAGATAATAATCCATATTTTAACAGTAAAACAAATTTTAAGTTCTTAATTCTACAAGGGAATATTTAAAAAAATACTAAATTTCCACTAGTGTAACCCACATAACACATTTTCTCTTAGCATGTCATTATTCCTATTTTATCCACCACCCCTCGAAAAAGTACAAAATTAAATGTAAAGTACTGTCTATAAAATCGTTATTGCTCAAACAAATCATAATTTTTATAGCCTTCAATTTTGTTTGGTTACAGAGCTATTGTATAGAAAAATCAGACCACTCCTGCCACATCCTCTCTTTCACAATTTGTTGATTGCTCTCTCGTACGTTTCATTATATATATATTACCTATAACCAATAGAAAGTCAAGGTTTTCATCTATCAAATGACGTATTGTATAATGTTATGTTTTGAACAGAATATTGTTAATTTCACTCACAGTACAAGATTCTTTCCCATGGGAAAGTTAATAACTAGCTTAGATGAATTTGTAACAGCTCTTGTTGCACAGTTGGAAAGTCAGGAACATTTTTAGAGGTGAGTGAATTTGTCTACATTTTGCATGTTATGAAACTATATTATTTGGTGCATTATTTAATTAATAAAAATTATTAAGTGCATTAGTATAAAAAATTAGGGTTAACCCTCATCTAAAACCTGGGAGCAGGAAAAAAGAAGATTAGGTAAGTACTTTATTTCTTCTCTTCATATTCATTTATTGTTATAAAAGTAACTAAAATCTAAAAATACAGATCTTTTTTAAGTTATTTAAGACTAGATTAGGTTAAATAAGTAATAATAATAACATGATTGAAATGGTTCAAGAGGCATGTATGCAAGCAGCTCATGGGTAATGTAATTCGATAGCATAACGTGAGCTGCACGTTCCAAAGTGAGTTACAACTTATAATGGCACAGATAGAAATTAGACACGGTTCAAAGGGCAATAAAACAATAAAATTCAATTATAAATCAGTGTATGCTGTTACAAACTTAGAGCTACTTAGGATAAACGAATGTAGTTTCATGTTACAATTTGAAGTCATCCTAGAAAGAAAAGAAGGTTAATTTAGGTTTATTTTGATTTTTTTGGTGGTTACGAGGTCGTTTGAATGGATCAATCCCATTTTGAGACAGAGTAGAGAAAATAACAGATAAACTATAATGTTGTATACTGAAAAAAACCCATTAGAAATGCATTTAGGAGGTTTGGGTATTACACAAAGGAAATTTGAGATTTTTGAGATGAGGAAAAGTATTTTTAATATTAACATGAAAATTACTTTGCACATGGACTATTCACAATAAATACTTAATATATTCATGGACAAATCTTTATTTTGTTTTATTAAAAATACTTCACTAAAAATATGATTTTTTGTATGTGAAAGTTAGAAGTATTAAATCTATAAAGACTTTAATCAAGTACAAAGAGGTCACATGGTTGGTCATATTGACTAAGCCCGTGTTGAGTTAACAAGTTGTGTTGGTTCAGTGATTCTATTATATGGTAAAATATAATATCATGGTACATTTTGTTTGAAGTTCATTTCCACAAAGAAATCACATAAAAAATTGTTGAATAATAAAAATCATCTTAAACATCCTATAAAAACATACCTATTTCGGAGTGATCCATTTCTCTCAGTATATCTACAGATATCTTTTTACTTTCCAGTTTTGACAAAACATCTGGACCAATATCCCCAAATTGTCTGAGAGGGCTTTCAAACTGCCATATCTGATGTTCCAGTACCTTACTGAGGGTTAGAAGCCTGCCAGCCATGATAGACCAGTTCTTTTTTAACACCATTTCAAATAATGATCTAAGAATCCGTACACCATTCTATATATTTTTAAAAGTGAAAAACAAATGAGAAAGTAAATTGTCACTGTTCAAAATCAGTTTCGAAATACAAAGACAAAATTTCCAATTTTCATGAGAAGTTCATAAAAAAAAAATCATTTTATGCAAGCTAGTGGCTGCAAGACTCTTACTTCTATAATTATAAACAAGCAATGTTCATCTGTAATTATAAACAAAAAAACTATGGTTACTAGCTAAAAAATTCAGAAAGAAATCACTTGCCTGTACCACATAGGCCATATCAGAAACTAGAGAAAAAGAATTAACTTGTCCACGTGATATGTGGGTCTGAATGAGAATGTTCACTTTCCCGTGTGCATTTTCACTCCCCCCTTCAACACT